CCTCCCACGACTGGTCCTATTTTTAATTAATCATTTATTGTGTAATTATATTAACGTTGTACTCCTTTTAACTGTATACACTTCCAGTTTGTTCATTCATGAAATGTGAATGTATAATTTATGTCTTAACGTTCATGTGTGCTATTTATAATAATATGATTGTTATGTGAAAATGGTAGTAGCGATTGGAAATAACTTCGTAAATAAACCTATATTTGTTTTACTGTAAGTATTAAAATATTTCAGTTAATACAAAGTGGGGTGAATCATGCGTAACATAGAATATAATGTTTTGAACCGAACATCTTCAAAAAATTCATAGACCGTCGGTGGCTCAGCGGTAAGCTTGAGAACTTATAAGTCTCAAATTCACGGTTCAAAACCCGCAGTAGGCACAGCGCCAATAGTTCATTGTGTAGCTTTGCATTTAGAAAAACTAACCAACGATAAAAAAATCACAAGCGACATTCGTACAATCTTCATAAAAAGTTATGAATAGTTTGTTTTATTTATTTATTACACGTGAAATAAAATGATAGAATCTTATGTAAAACCACATCCACGGTCATATCTTTCGTGAATGTAGCCACCAAGAGACGACAGATACTCGATAATCAAGAATTAAAAACATTATACAAAAAAACCTCTAACTCGTTTAAAATAAGTGCATAGTTTAGTCCATTTCGAATAATTATATTTTAATATGCTATTTTGAAACGAGTATGTAATACCTAATGAATGAATCTTGTATACATGATAGTCTTATATAGGTTGTTTCTAGCTGATTTTACTTTACCGTAATCCCTGTGTTTTGACTTTTCGTACACATTTATGTAGTTCAAAGTCTCTGTTGTACAAAATAACACTTCTGCCTTCATGTGAACATTAAAAAGTGATTTTTAAAATGTAGTTCTAAAGACTGCGGGTTATTCTTTGAATAAAGTACTGTTTTTTGTTGCTTTACTTACTATATGAGAAACTATGCTGGATGAAAGTGTTCAAAAATTGTCCATTCTTGGTTTGGTTTGTTATGAATTTCGCGCAAAGCTACACGAGGGCTATTTGCACTAGCCTTCCCTATTTTAGCAGTGTA